GCAAGAATATCTTTTGAATAAAATATAAAAAACATTAATGATTACTTACACAATGAAATAATACTAATACGAAAATCACTACTGCAGTGTAAAATTGTTTCTACATACTCGGAAACAATACTTATTCAGTTTAGTAGCTTTCACTTTCCCGAAGTGACATGCCAGGAGACTGAGAATTTTACATTTTGAATGTAATTTTTTGCAATAAATATGAGTTGAAACAGGGTTATTTTGAGGTTCGTACTAGATACAGTTGTGATTTACAGTTTTCATGTGGAAAAAACAAATTTTTTTATTTCTTATTCTTAAATAAGCTGTGCCGTCTAAAATTCCTTCATTTGTAGAACTACCCAAATACCGTCGTACAATAATACCATACATTTTTAAAGAAATGGTATTTCTTTAATTTTAACGATTTACAGTGGGTAAAATTTTTAAACGTATGCTCTTACCAGGGGCCCAACAACGTTATAGTTTGACTGGGTGCTTCCATCATAATACTTTAAATATTTATATACTGCGGGTGTGTGTATAAGCTGAAAAGATCGAGTTCGGCTGCTCATCTAACGAGCTTGAGCGCCCAACCATATCGAGTGGGTGCTTAGGCACCCATGGACCCCCTCTTGTAGCGCCCCTGGGTCTTACTAGGTTAAGAAAAGGAATACGTATAGTAATCCCCTTGTAATTACGTATGTTTTAAAATAAAAAAACCATCCCTATTTGCCTAGTATTATAATCAACCAGAGCGTCAAAAAAAAACTGTTCTCGTACAAAAATATGCATTATAATTACATCAATTGGGCATTAATATTTTCTTAAAAATACTGCCTACTAAATAAAAAAAATCGTTTTGATACCGCACTTAAATTGATAGAATTAGGCTCACATTAAAAAAGTTTTGCGATAATTTTTTTCGAGTACCTAAGTATATTAATTTATGCATTAGGTACTTTGGTACTAAGTAGATGTGCGTAAAATACGTATTTCATGATGCTTATGAAATCGTTTTAAATAATTTTCTAATGCGAATTTCCACGAATATAATACCGACGATTCACAATCTATTTCAGGAGGTCTGGTTTAGTTCATTTCTCATTTTCTCTTTTCGATTAAATTCCTCGTTTATAATAAACATTTATTTAGCCTTCCAAGTATAATTAAGGAAATAACAGAAAAAATAACGTCTATTATTTATCCATTATTTTAAAGTTTTTGAAAATCTGGGATCAAGAAAATGCGACAATACAATACTTATAACTTATAATACTCGCAGTATCAAAAGGTGCTTTCGTCATCGGAATATTTATAAAATATTAAATTATTATAATACTGCATTGCTGCAGGTTCGTAATAAAACATATCGTTAAAGAATAGAAAAGGCTTTAATGACTAGAAATAGGATGTGTTTTTTCGTTATAATTTAGGTTATCCACAATGTCACAGCTATGTACTAAGTTTTTGAAATTTTGAAAGTTATGTGCAAT